TTAGGTAGGCCGTGGATCATAGTCAGCTGATGAATGGTTTAGGTATATATTTTTTTTCCAGTAAACAGATCCCCTCCCAGAGCCTCCAGAAAGGAATGCAGCCCTGCTGATACCTTGATTTCAGCCCAGTGAGAACTATGTTAGACTTCTGAACTACAGATCTATAAGATAATGAATTTGTGGTTTTTAAAGTCACTAAATTTGTGGCAGTTTGTTAAAGCAAAGAATATAAAACTAATACAGTTCTCATTTTTAGTTTTTTCCTCATCTTTTTGTTTTACCTTTTTATCTTCCTACTGTCGCTTAATCATTATCTGTCCTTTTTATATGGAGTTCTTCTATCCATACAGGCCATGAATTCTTGCAAAGAATTTCCTCAAATGTTCTTCCACAGCTTAAAATTCTTGATTTTCACAGTATGTCACTGAATCTTCTGATGATTACCTTTTCCTTAGATTTGTGGGATTTTTTTTGTTCCATTCATTTCAAATGTTAAACCTATCCAGAATAGTTTGGCATTGAACGAAACTATACAGATCATTTCTACCTAGTCCAATCTTTTCCAAATAGATGTATGTATGTATGTAGGTAGGTAGGTATGTATGTATGATATGTAGATATGTATGTATGTAGGTAGGTATGTATGATATGTAGATATGTATGTATGTATGATATGTAGATATGTATGTATGTATCGGGGTGTGATGGAGATGTTGAGGAGAGGAGAAGAAGCAAAGAATGGAAACCTAGGAAATGACAAAATGGAATCAGAAACTGATTCTTTTTTAAATTACACCTCTCCATCCTGAAAAACAATCTGATATACCCCTGCCCAGAGAGATTCAGTGTATATTGAACCACTGTGAATAATGAGAATATATAATGCTCAAGCACATTCTTCATAAAAATGGAAGAATATCACAAATTTTCAACTGTATATATTCACATATAAGGAACTTGATGCCTGAAACATGATAAACCACCTCCCACCCCGCCCAAAATAATGTATCTGCTGCTGGAGCCAAGCCTACAACTTTCAGTCCAGTACACCATCTACCTAGTATAGTTATAAACTGTAATCCACAAGTAGGATTTTGTCACAGGTATCCATATAATTTATTATTCTACATCCTGTTAATATTCAAATATTTTTAATATCTATGTTAAAAAGTTTTTTGGGTTAAACCATCTTCCTTTTGTCTTTGCCAAAATTTTAATTTCTTCAGTCTAATTAGTCTGCTATTTTTGCAACTATGTCATCACATAATACTACTATGGAAGAACTAAGCTTCTTCTTATTCCTATTGTCATTCTCCATGTTCAGTGGCTTGAAAACCATGAAATTGGTAAGATCCTCTTATGGAACTTATGGAACTGTCTCCACCTTCTGATTCAACAAAATAGAATTTGTTAAACCTCTGAGTACAGAGTATTTATCTTTCTATTGCTTAACATTTCCAAATTAAGAAGCTAAGAAATCATCTTTTCTTTTTCACGAAAATATGTACCTATTTCACTCTGTTGTTGCAAAGACACTCAACAGGTATGAATCTAACAGGTGTGAAAAGATCTAGCTCTAGGACTCTATCTTTTCAGTTAGAAATGTCTTGAGGATATCACATATTATAAAATATGTATCACTATTTTCCATTAATACTGTTTTAGACATTCTGGGAGAACACCAAAAAATGATAATTTTCTAAGCAATATTTTTATTAAAACCTTCGCACTTAGAGCCAGATCTATTGATATCAAAAATACGAATACAGAGGAATAAAGATGAGGGAAAAATCTGGCCTAGCCTCATGTTTCCATGAGGAGGAACTTCACTGGAATCATAGTTCTCAAAGGAGATGTTTTTGGCATTGGAGTGGGGCAAGAAAATTCTTCATTGAGCTGGACCTCTAGATTACACAAGGCCCCCAAAGCCAGTAGCTTTTAAACACATAGTAATAATTTAAAAACACCTCCACTTATTTCAAATGGCCCAAAGGGATCACCCAGGGTGGAAAAATCAGAGCACTAGGTTAACAGTCCTGGCCTCAGATCCCACTCCTTATTTGCAGCTTCCCAACAGGAGAGTTATCTGATTGATGGGTGAAATCCATTGGTCCATATTACTCCCGTGGGTAGATATTAGCTATTGTAAACCTGTAAATTCTAGAGGTTTTCCTTCTTTCACTTCACTCTCCGCCCTGGACCACGCATATCAGTAATTCTGGGTAAATGTATCTTTTCTGCAAACTGAAATTTTCCCTCATTGAATTCCAGGTTCTGAGAAAAGAAGTGGAGGCAGAAAGGGGTAGGAAGTACTAGTACTCATTTTTGGTCTCCTATCCAAAGCATTATGCCCAATCAGCTATTTAGTACTGAAGCTGATATTGTAAACTTCACCTGTTTACAAACTCAAGAGAGAAAAAAAGCTATTATTTATTGAGGCTTTAAAAACTTTAATTTCATTAGAATGCTTTCTCTACTCCATTTGTCTTTATACCAGCTTCTCTACCAGAAATGGAGTTAAGAAGGGAATAGTCAAAAACTAAACAGTTCAAATGAAATTATAAATGCTAATAAAGAAAACAAGTGCTCCTATATACTCCTGTGTTTATTACAAAACAATATATATTTTCTTTTTTCAATGTTTTCCCTATCTAATGATACTACCTACTACAGATGCCCACTTCTATTGATAAACCTAGATAAAGAAAATTTAGCGAACAAAATAACTCTACCTATAGTCTTTTATTTAAATAGAGAAATCAGGAAAAGAGCCACAGTGGAACCAACCACAATATTTTTTAACCACAAGAAATTAAAATAGTATAAAAGCTGACTCACTTAAGTTAAAGAAAATAGTCTAAGAGTCAGGTTATAGTATTCAAGTGGCATATGCTAAACATAATCAGTTTTTCTTTGTCGACTTTGATAGAAGAGAAAGTTTATGTATTTAATGTTTATTTCAAAAATACAATTTAACATTTTCTCAAAATATTTGGCAATAATTTCTCTTTCCACTTGCTTAAATATAAGAATATCCTTTAAGAGAATGATCAAAGGGCATGTGAAAAAAATTACAGCTTACATGGTTTTGAAAAGACAGCAACAATCTATTGGTAGTTCCTGTTTATTAAATAGTAAAAAAATAAAAGGATTGGTTTAAGATTCTGCATTAAAGTAAGCTATGGTAAAATGCATTGTGGAAGAAAAGGAAAAGACCCAATTCTTTTCCCCACTATATACTCAGTCTATCTTTGGGATGAGGCAAGGGGGAGAGTAATTTCCTTATCCCTCAAGAAGTTGATCCAAAACAGTATCTTAATCCAGGACCACTTATGCTTCCAACTGTGTCTTTCTCTAAGGGGAGAGTCAATAGCTCCTTGGCTTCTCAAAGTAGTATATGACACCATAAAGGTCATTCATCTTTGGATTAGAAGGTAATCTTTCCCAATCCTTTCAGGCTATGTATATACTTTGAAAAACCTAGTGATGTCAATCAAGGGGGTAAAATGTGTCATGCAAGACATTTAAGGTGCTATGTAACCAGAACTATCACAGAATCAGTAAGAAATAGACAAATGAGTTTCTTCCTCAATTCTAAATAACCCAATGATAAAAGAAGTCACAAGGGAAGTCTGAAAATACTTTAAGCTGAATAGTCATACTTCTGTGTTTACAAATTCAGATTATATAGACAAAAAGATAAAGTGTAATCAATAACACTTCACATCTGTCTAGATCATTAATAATCAATTATTCCTTCTTACTCTTTAGGAACAAAGGGCACAGTAGCCCCACTTTTATAGATGAGAAAACAGTTATGAAGGTTATTGTCCAAGGACAGTATTTCCTAACCCTGCCAGTTTTCTGTCTTATAGGCCAAGATTCTCCCCAGTGCTTTCAAGCAGTACAAGCTGCCTTCTTGGGGATTTATACCGTAAACCTAGCAGAAGGAAGTAAAATCAGATTTTTAGCTCCTTTTGTGTTTTCTCTCTGGAATGTTTGTTCGCTGAATCATTTGGGGCCAACTGGTATGAGCAAAGAGATCTGAAGTGGTTATCTGTGGTTACCATCTTAGAGTTAATCATTAAATGTGGGTCAATGAAGCAAAGGAGCTTTATACGCTTAATATCACCCACTCTCCACAGAAGAGACGGAGATCATCTATTGGGGCCTGTCCAAAAATAAATTGCCTCAACTTCCTGAGCTGCTCATTGTGCTCAAACGGGCACCAGCAAGAAAAAGAATTCTAGGTAGAAGAAACCAGATCTCCTATCCCCATTTTCCTAGCAATCCACATGGACACCAACACTTCGTGGATTCAGGGATTCACGAAGCACCAAGCAAAGATCCTCTCCGCATCCCACCCCAGCGCCCCCCTCCTCCATGCAAATAAAGCCATCTCACGCTGCCTAAAGCTCTTCTCTGCAAACGTTTTGGTCTGCAGATACTTATTAAGAAGGAAAGGCAGGGAAAAGAACAGAGAGGAGTAATACTGGAAAAGGAGGCCAGAGGAACTACAGAGCCGGAGAGCTGGCCAGTAAAATAAACGGACGCGAATTAACTGACAGCACAAGGGAGCCAATCCCTAACCAAGTGAGAGGTCTTGGGAGGTGGGCGGGACTAAAATTTCCAGGGCCCTGCGCCCCAGCCAGACACGCTGGCAGGGCGGGAACCGTGCGTTCCTTAGCAACAGCGGCGGCCACGCCCACCCACCACCCCAACACCAGATCCGCCATCCCCACCCCCACCGCGAGCGTCCTGTTCGCCAGAAGGGGTCCTTAAGTTATTACCGTACATCCTGGGTTTCCCGGGCTTCGGGTTCCCCCTCTTCCAGAGCCTCCCTCCACCCGGCCCGCCCTAGTGCCGCTCTCAGGGGCGGAACGACCATCTCCTAAACGCTTTGGGGGATCGCTAAGGACGTGCGCCCGCTTTCAGTCCCGGACCCCGAGCTTCCCTGGCAGGGCCTCCCCAGCCCCCTCGCCCTCGCCGGACACACACACCTCAGCTCAGCCAAGGCAAAGGCCGACAAACTTCGTGTCCGGCTGGAAATGTTGCTGTCCACGGTCCTGTCACTCAGAGGCAGGGGCGGGACGAGCCAGCCGCACACCCCTAATCCCAAAGGGCGGTACGAAAAGAGGCGGGGTTCGGCGGAAAGAGCCGGGACCAGTCCCCAGCCCGCGCTCCGATTGGTCAGTCTCTCTCCCGCCTCTGCGCGGGTCCCGGACGCAAAGGAAGCCGGCCTTTCCTTCCTCTAACGTGGAGTCCCAAATTCCAATACTTGACTCACGAAATGACCACAGAAATTAGAAATAAGGACTATGACTTGTTTTATAGATATAAAACACAAAAATACGTTATTTTGATTGTTGAAGCCTTGTCACCTAACACACACTCCCCATCCCCACTCTCCGGGGAGCATCCCTTGGAGGAAGCATGAACCATCTCTGAAAAAAATCATTGTTTGCAGATTGAAGTTTTAACAGATTAATCAATTTAGGAAAAGTGATTCCTGAAATATGACCAACAACAAAACTTTGGAGGTATGTCCAGGTATTCAGTTTTCACGTCTACGAAATGGGAATGAAATACTAAGTTATTTGGAAAGCATTTGACAGTTGAATGATTTATGCCTAATAATCATGTACTCCTCTCAACACCCAACAGAGCTGTTATTATCCAAGGCCTATGAACAATGAAGCAGGCTCAGATATGTTACATTTATTCAATCATTCAACAAATGAAAAAGTGCCTGTAGTTATTTTTTATACTGTGGTAAATTGAATTTAAAATTCTTTCAAAAAATTATGCGATTTCCAATTTAATTTTTCAATTTTTCTCTTGCCCTAGTTAAGTTATTTTCCTATGGGCCAGCCCAGCATAGTTTCAAAAAAAAGCCCTTGAGAAAGAAAATAGCATACAGAATAAAGACGGACTGAGACAAGTATAAATAGACTAACTAGAAGGTCTCTGAAATCTCTCAGGATATCAGGGCCAGGAATTGAATTCAAAATGTAATTTTATTTTCTTTTCTCCTAAATCATTTGCTGGTCTCCAGTTCCTATCCCAGAAATAAAGGTAGAGTTAAATGAGATTATCTTAATACTCTTAACCAGATTTGTATGCGTGTGGTTTTAAAATAGTGCAACCCTTTTTCCTTTTATATTAAACCAATACGCAGAAGTGTTTATCTTGTCCAATACAGTAGTAATAAAGGAAAAAACAAAACAATACTTCTGGACAAGTGCTTTGAGATTCAATTAAAATGTCCACTATACTATGATAAAATTGTTGGAATAAAAGAAACATTCCAATTGCAAATGATTTTATTCTCTTCTGCTGAATTTTCAAATTCTTCTGAAAGCTCACTAACTGTAAATACCTCTCCACAAAATTTCTCAATTTGTATGACTCAAGATCACCATTATGTTTCCTTAATCTTTTAAAAATATTTTGTTTTAGACTAAAAAGAAAAAGCTATGACTGTATATTAATAAGTACGTTATATAAATAAATACTGTAAGATTTAAATAAAAGTGGTGAATTATTTATTTGAATCCTTTTTCAATTGCATATTCAAATAAGGACAGCAAATGCATTTGTTTAAATATTCTCACGTATATAAGAGATTGTACATTTAAATAAATGTATTGTATGTATGTAAATGTGTAATCATTGAAATAAACACAGCTGTATATTTCCCATATGTATAGCTCCAGATGTTTGAAGCATACATTCAAATTTCTGGAACTCTACACCTTGGTATCTAGTTAAACATCCAGTAGAAAATACTGCGCTACATATACAGAGGAATACACATCAAAACTTTATCCTCAATGAGGAAATAAGGTTAGAACAATGAATATGAGTCTCTGTCACTGAATTTCTTATCTTGAACATTTTCTTTTGAGATAGCTTGTCCTGGTAAGTTGTTTTGCAAGCACTTTACTGTTCTATAAAATGATCACTTGCCAACTTACCCTATATGAATAGGACTATTGCAAAGTAGTTTTACAAGTATTTATACAAATAGTTAAACTCCAAAACATAATGTTTCTAGTTAACTTCTCCACTTTGGAGTAGGAGAGTCTCATGTTATCTATGCCTCAGTTGTTTATTTTTTAACTTACACTTCTGCTCCAATACTTGGAACATTTATAATTTGAAATTTCCCCATAGGCACAAATTTACACTAGAAGAAATTATGAAGTACAAACTAATCTAATATGAAATAAAATGTATCTTAGGGATATTGAACAAGAAGTAAATGGCTTAATGTAAAATTAAAACATCCAGATGTATGTTATGAATATGCTTATTTCTTTACCATGTAATGACAGACATGCTACATTTAAATTTGTGGTAAGTTGAAATATAAATTTAGAATCTAATAATTACATGAGCTAACACTTTGGTCTAGATGAATATGCATATAGCGTGAAATTTGTGGTTACCAGTTTGGATCATTTGCAGAAATTATGATTCTGTCAAAATATATGAAATTCATTGGGTATATTAAAATAAGAAATATAATATCAAATTATTCAATCTTTTTCAGCAGTTCTTTGCCTTAAATTTTAAAGTTTAAATATCCAAATTAGCTCTTTGAGTAGCTGGAAAATGGCTTTTTTAATAGGTCAAATATGCATATTACTATTTCTGTTCAGTCATTCTAGAATATAGGGATGCATTTAAGGTGAATTTTGTTTAAAACATGTAAAGAAATGGTTTTTCATGTGAATTCGTTTAAGAAATCCCGGTGATCCCCAGAGTCTGTGCTTGAAAATCTTGGTTTTAGCCCATAGTACTATATTGAAACAACTTAATAAAACCTTGAAAATGGGTATGCTTTTCTTAAAGAAAAACTTCCTTTACAAAACTCAGAAAATTAATAAACCATAAAAAATATTTTTCATTAATTTGTGTAATATTTGAAATTATAACTATATAGCACATATACAGAATGAACTCCCTGGGAAGAACTGACATACATTATTAAATACATATTCCTATATTTGTTAGATTTTTTGATTACTTGATTGCAAAACTGTCTCTGAAACCCAAAATAAAATCATATCTCAAAATATTCTTCAGACGTTACAAGAACAGAGAGAATTATTTCATGTGCATGGAAGAAAGATGGATCATATATTACAAATATTTGGAGGATATAATTTCAAATATATAGCTGCTAGCTTTTTCTTTAACTGGCAAATCACATGTAGGTAAAATGTATATCTTGTAGCCATTTGAAAATGTTCACATTTACTATTTTTTCAATTTATTGAAAATTTAATCCAATATGATAATGATTCTAAACCTTCTGAAAACAGGATGCCGTTTACAAATAATTCACTGACAGCATTTTTTTTCCCTTCTGAAGGGTACACATAATAATAATGGCCTTTTTTCAGTTGATAGCCCCCTTGTATCTAGGTGGTGACTCATTAATCAAAAGTGCTTTGATCTCATGCCCCTTCACTCTCAAAACAAGGCCTCTGAATTCCTCACATCAAGAAAGGAGCAATTGCAGGTTTTCATAGTTTTCACTGCTATAGGACAGAATTGAGGCACGGCATCTCGATGTACTTTTGTCACTCACCATTGCTATGACTCATCAGTATTATATTCATTTAATGTCACACTGATAAAAGCAATCTTCCTATGCTCCCCCTATATCTTAACCCCCAGCTTCTCCAATTCAAGTATTCCAGAGCCCACTTATCAATGCTTCCCTTGTATTTGGGGATTTTCTAAATGTCTTTATTATTGACATTTAATTTAATTCCACTGTTGTTAGAGAACATACTCTGTAAGATTTCAAACTTCTGAAAATTACTGAAACTTATTTTATAGCCTGGCATATGGTTTATCTTCAATGATTGTTCCCAGTGTGCTTGAGAAGAATGTGTATTCTGCAATTGTTTGGTGTAGTCTTCTATAATTCTAGAATTAATAATATGTATCCTTAAATTATTGCTAAGATTCATCAGTATTATATCCATACGATATTATATCTTTAAGAGTGATCCCTGTATGCCCCTTCTTCATACTGTCCCTAGTTTTCTTCTCCCCTCCCACCAGCCCGAGCTGGAGTTCACAGTTGCACATTTCACACACATTACTTTACACTTTCCATTCGTACATCACACTTCACAGATGTCAGAACCTTATGACAGTGTAATTCCATTCATCTGCCCCCACTCCGTCTTTTGTATTATTGTTTTATATGTTTCTTTTAAATGCATTATAAAACCTCAATTTAAAATGTATTTGCTTTTTTTTATGTATTTATTCATTTGAGAGAGAGACAGAGAGAGAGGCAGAGGGAGAGGGAGAAGCAGACTCCCTGCTGAGCTGGGAGCCTGACATGGGGTTGGATCCCAGGACCTGGAGGTTGACTCCAGCTGAAGGCAGAGGTTTAACCATCTGAACCACCCAGGCGCCCCAAAATGTATTTGCTTTTGACCTAAGTGGTTAGCTTTTTTAAAGAACACAAAGAAAATTGTCTTTTTATTTACTCACATACTTACCATTTCTGGCGCTTTTTGTTCTTTACTACATCTCCAATAATATCAATTCCCTTTGTACTGTAGAATTAGTATTTTTTCTATCCTCTCCAATTTTCAAGTTTCCTTTCACACAAAATATGAAATTATAAATGATTCTGTTATTGTGTACATATATATGTGAGTATATTTCAAATAAAAATGAATACAAATAAACACATATATATACATATATGCATTTTTACTTTTGAACATTTTCTTTGAATTCAACAAATATGTCTACACATTTCAATTATTTCTTGCAACATTTATCTGAAGTCACATTTACTATCCCACATTATCTTCAGAAATAAGAAATTGAGGCTCAGGGAGATTAAACTTTTAACAATTACTTTAAAAAGACATTAAAGCTTATTGTGTACTTTTATTTCTTAATTAGCATCCATCTTCCCTAGCCCAATACTCTAAGATTCATTCCTCTTCAATACTGTATAGTGCTTAGCTCACTATTGGGAGGCCCCCAGGTAGATCTTCAAAAATGATAATGAATAAATAAAAGAGTGAATCCAATTTTTAGATATAGGTATAGGTATATATAGATATAGATGA